AAATAACGATTAAATAATAAAATGCGATTAATATAAGTTGTATTAATATACGACGCAAATATTGCATTATTTGGAAAGTAAAAAATAAAATCATCTTGCTTTTCTACTACATATATTTTTCCAAAGTAATCAAACTTCTTAATTTTTGCGAGCAGAATTTTATGATTATGAGATCACAAATCTAAATAAATCTTTATGGAAAAATGTGTATTCTGAAACAAAATAATAACTAGTGGTGCATGGCATCGTACCTTAAGGCAAATTGCTGGAACGTACCATAATAAAAATCAGTAAGCAAAAATATTAGCAAAAAAAATTAGCAAAAAAATTCTTTCCCCAAAAGCAATCGTTCCTTCAACACAAGCAAAAAGTTTAATGAATCATTTGAATCGGATGTTTAGTTCTTTAAAAAATTTTCATTTTTTGCATATTTATTTCCGTATCTTCGAAACGGCTAGACCTGCTTCTTCCAAAATATAATCACCACTTCTCCTCATCATTCCAAATTGAATATTTTTAGATTATTCTAATCGGATGCTCTGTTCTTTGAAAAACACGATTTACATTTTCTGCACTCTTTGCTACGTATCTTCGAAACGGCTGGACCTGCCTTTGTCGAAGACTAATCAGCATATTTCCCTATCAATAGGAATCGAATGTTTTTTGAACCACTCAAATCGGATAATTCGTGCGCCCGAAAACGTGGACAAAAAATTGTGGACACACAAAACATACCCATCGATTTTATCTGAGGTATGCCAAAATGTTCAGAAACCTCTAAAACGTAAAGATATGCAAAAATTTTCATTTTCGGTTTTTGGCCCATTACTATAACTTGCGGGAAGTTAATAATAATTTTGCAGCAAAAAGTAGTGACTGATCTATTCAACATGCAGCATAAAACAATTTTTTTGCATTAATTGGCTTTCTATATTTTAATACACATTGGATCTGTTTGGATTTGACTCTCGACTGATCAGAGGCATGAATTCCAAAAACTATAAATGAGAAGACAAAGCAGATATAATAGAAAGTCGAAGCGGAATCATGAAAGGAGAAATTGAATATATAAAAGTGAATATTAAATAATGTTCAACACCATGGATCTATTTTCGGGCATAGCACCATTATTGTCCATTATATATCAATTACCAATATTATCTATCAGTATCAGTAGCCAATGATAGCTATAAATACTACCATTACCAATTTCACTTTTATGACTGTATATCCGCCACGTGGTTATAGAATTTATTAAAACTCTCCTTTGATAACTCAGGTTGTTGGGTTATAATTTAACCCTTGTAGCTGTGGACTGTATTAAACACTGATTTGTTCTGTATTTGTATGTATTTATTTTGTTATTTGTTGCAGTTCTTATTACAATCACTGATTTGTCACTAAGTTATAATGAAAGAAGATATATTTATTGATTAGTTATCACATGTTGTCTCACGGACTTTACTTTTAGAAGTGGACAATTAGTCCATTAAAATCTCAGCAACCCCCTCTACCAGGGGTAATAACCACGTGTAAAAGCTCAATGCCGTGAAGATTGCTGCTTCATGGCCAATATAATAAAATGAAAATACGTCCGACAAATGACTATTACTGTCTGCAAACAATGCTGGAATTTCACTATTCTGTTCTAAATTGCATATTTTACGATTTGTTATAGCATCATTATTAATGATGCGTTTGATGCATCTATAAAATTATGCAAGCAGAAAGCTGCCAACAGAGATTTTGAGTCTCTACATTAAAAAATGGTAGCATGTAGTACGAGTAATATCAAACAATATTAAAACGTGTTAAGCAGGAATAAAATATAAATTGGACAGAGCACACATTTTATTTTTTACTTACAATTAGATACTTGAAAGCATTGCCAAGATATATACTGCGAATGTACTGGTCTTTCTACTTCGGTTTGCTTTGACTGGTCAATGTTATCAATAATAGTTAGCTACAGTGTCAAATATCATATAACAGGAACCGCAGACTTTTTAATGAGTCGTAGGATAATTAGTCAAAGTTGCCAATAAAAACACAATCGATATTTCAAGAGTTATCTTTCATATGCTATTAATACACAAATAATAAAATACCAAAACCTTTCCGACTACGATGCCAAGAATTCGTTAAATAATCGTTTGCCAAAAGAATACTACATCTGAAAGCAACGAATCTTATGAAATCATATACAAAGAAATTTGCACAAAATTCTCTGAAATTGGTAAAAAAATACTGATAAAATTATAATGATGTAATAAATTATAGTTTATAAAATTTAAATTATCATTTTTGCTTATATTTTCGGATTGTATAAATATGAATTTTATTAACATTTATGTTGAAACACGATTGATATTTTTCTATGCCCAAAACAAAATCCATGGTGTGAGAAAAACGCATTTTTAGAGCTCCAAAACCGCTAGACTTGCCTTCCCAAAAATTTAATCAGTTTTTTATCTTGTCAATACAAGTAAAATGTTTTTTGAATTATTAAAAAATGATGAGTTACCGCTGCGTTCTCTTAACAACTGAGTTACCGTTTTAAGCACTTTTTGCCCCGTATCTTTGGAACGGCTAGACCTGCCTTCGCCAAAAACTAATCAGCACGTCTCTTTATCAATACGAATCGAATGTTTTTTTAATTATTGATCCTTGTTTCCGAAATCGTCGACGAAAATTTGTATTTGCACATACACACACACATATATATATATATATCCATTTTTTCTAAGGTATACCAAAATGTTCAGAAACCTTTGAAACGTAAAAATATATAACAATTTTCATTTACGATTTTTTTGCGATTATCGGAAATCAAATAAATCGCCGATTAGAAAGTATTTATGCTTTAATACAGTGAATAATTTTTATAAATTTATCTGAACGAAATTTCACATTGCCCAAAACAAATGATCCAACAAAACTCAACGTCAATTATTATTTTTTTCCTCGCTTACTAAAATTGACGCGACCTGCCAATCTCCCACACGATTACTATAACTTGCCCTATGGGAAGTTAATAAAAAATCTTTTTCCAAAAGTTCTTATTCCAAAAAAGTCTTTTTTTCAAAAATTTAAAATTTCTCAAAGATGTAATTTTTTCAATGTTTGAAACAAATTTAATCTTTTTTTAAAAAAAATAATTTTTGGTATGGAAGTTCCAGCAATTTGCCTTAAGGCACGATGCTATACACTACTAGTTCGTGTCTTTGTTTAACTTCTTATCTCAACTTTTTGTTGATTTCATTATCTTTTATATATAGGTGAAAAGTTTTTTGAGCAGATAATTACCTTTTAAACTAGGGCTGCAGTTTGTAACTTGAAAAAATTTGAATTATCTTTTTGTGAGCAACATCTGAATTTAAAGCTTTATTATTTTTGGATGGTTTTGAGATTTGAACTATATTTTAATTATATTATAGATAAAGAGCAGTTCAATTTTGATAACATCATACTAAAGTTAATATATAAAATAAAAAGTTAATCTAAAAAATCCAATCTTAGGAAATTGCATGAACTATTTTTAAATTGTTCTTTATTATTGAAATAAATCTCAAAGTTAAGTGAGAAGAGCATGATATAACCCAGAGTAACATAGAGTCAGTATTCTTTTAAGTCTGGCATTGGAAAAGGACTTTTATTGCTGTTTGAATAGGAATGCCAAGTTCAAACACCAATGTCTTTCTAAATATACAATATTTCAACATATTTCACTGAAAATCTGTGTTTTGGCATGTTTTCATATTACGCCAGGTCGATTTTAAATCCGAGCTTCAATATTTATTTATGAATATATCTTTTTAATTTGGGAAAATAACTTATAAAAAATGTAAATACGTCGCTTAGGAAAATTTTGTTTTTTCTTTACATTGGAGGAGGAAATTGTCGTAATTTTAGAACGTTGTTGCGAAAATCGAAATATAGTTACAGCATACTTGTGAAGGTAAATAGAATTAGCAAAAAAATATTGCGATGAAGAAAAATTGAATTCATTAATAAATAAATAATTTACACCTACAGGATCAAACTAAAAAAATGTTACTAATAATATACTATGATATTAATTGAAAAATCTTACAGTGAACCTAACGATAAAATGGTTAATAATTTGATTGTTTATTAAATTAAGTTTGCTGAAATAGAAACATTTAAGATTATGCAAGAAGGTAAATAAACATTTTGATTAATTATCATTTGTTCTGAAATTGATTTGAACGTTTGGCAATATTCCTAAACAAAAGATCGTGCTTCATGCATTTTTGATTTCTGGCTACTTACAACTAGTATGGAAAGTGTTGCAAAAGTTGAATCACTATTATTTTTAAACATATGTGTTTTAATTTACATATATATATATATATATATATATATATATATATATATGGATGTTTTCGAATTTTCTTTCTCCCAAGGACTCGAATGCTTTGAAACTGGTAAAAAAATTCTTTGAAAGTTTTAACTCTTAATATTAACTATAAGATAGTCCGCACTCCAACCAAAGTTTCTTGGTTTTTCTTCCTAAATGCTTATTTCATACAATATATCAAATTTTTGTTGTATTTTTTATTTATAATTAAAATAAGCAAATATAATGTTATTCTAAAAATTTTGATTCTCTTGTCGCGAATTTATAAAATTCTAAAAAAAGGAAATGGAACTTTTCCTATGTTATTTCCATTAGAAATTTAGCTTTACAAATTTATGATCTGTTTTTTTAACAATACAGCACAAAAATATAGAAAATTTTAAGTAATCAATTATAAATATATATCTCACATAAATACCTCGTCTTGCATACTTGATATGATCATAGAAATGGTAAACTTTATTTAAATAATTATTAAATTATTTTTATTTGGAGTGGTATTGTAAAACGTTGATTCAAATAACATGATGAAAATTGAAGTCAATTATGTTATATTTATTATATTAATATCAATTTTAAATATTATTATTTTTAGTAATAAAATAAACTTACCTTACAGGTAGAGAGAGGAACATGATTCGTGTGGATGAGTCCGATCCAGTTGGAGGTATGAAAAAATATTAAATATTAAATGTTTTATAAAATGTATAAATCGAATAAATTGAATAAAGTTATAAAGTTACCATATTTTATTGGTTCAAGTTCATGTTTATAAAAGTGAAAAATTATATTGTTTTTACTATGAAAGCTAGAAAAATATAATCACACTTCCTTTTTATCGTGCATCTTTCAATATGACTTTCCAAAAGAATCAATAAAAATTCAAGCTTTTTTTAAGTAATTAACAAAAGTAATCACAATCATATCAATATCTAATACATTAAATTTAATTAAATTGTTAATTCCATAAATAAGTAGTTGCTAAATGAGTCAAATTGAATATATTTTTAGTGCAATCATTCACAGTTAAATAAAGTATTTATAAAACTTTAAAAGTTTTTGTACAATTAAATTTATTTGTATTTTATAGAAATTGTATATTTATATAAATTATATATTTTCAGAAGTAGAACCTGTATTTCCATACAGAGATGTGACCATCAGGAGAGGAGAAAAAATCAGTGATTACTATGATCTCGGTTCAGAAATAGGAAGGTAAGTAAATAAACTTTGGCAATTCGAAACTTATTTTCATTCAATTTAAACACCAAGAATAAATAAATGGTAATGTAAATATTATTTCCTCGTTTTTTTTCATTGCTCTCAATTAAGTTTAAATTTAGGATGACTAATTTATTGATTTTATAAAAATAGCCTTTCAAAAAACATTAAATTGATCACAGTCTTTATAGACTTAATTTTTTTAAATTGGTTAATGGATCTTGAGCATGGTGACTTATGCAAATTATGAATATTTTTTTGAGATAAACTAGTGAACGGGAAATGACTAAATTGAAGAATACTAGTTAGATGGATAGTATATTACTAGATTGTAAAATTCTATCAAATGATTGATTAACTCTTTCGGTATAATAGTAGATCTCGCAGGAGTGACACTGCTGTACGAGCCAACAAGTTTCCCACAATTTTGTTACACAAAATATTCTAACATTTTCCAATTGTTATCCATAAAAATGTACGAAAATATTATTTAAAATTTGAGTTATTTTTGGAGATGCAACTCCTTCTGTTAATAATCCTCTTCTGTGTGCTTTCTTTTGCGATACTTTAATGACTTTTCTTCAAAACTTTTCAATACGATAATGAACCGATTTCTGTCTCATTTGGACCTTCCCCCCTTGGACATACTAGCCTTATCCCCGAATTACAATTTTTACTATTTTTAAAAAAAATTGTGAAACTCAAAAACTGGTAAGAAAAATGATCCTTTTTTTCAAACATTTTCCATTTTGTCAAAACCTTTTTAAATTAATCTTATATACCATTGCGACATCATTCCAGATTAATAATCTTTTTTTCTTTTTTATTTTATTACTAGAAAGGCTGCAATCGTAGGCATGATTTCGTGTCACTTTTTGTGGACCCGTTACTACAACAACCGCAAATTTATAAAATTATCAACTTTTATTTGTTTTTACTTTTTTGATAAATTATAGAAACTAGTGGTGCATGGCATCGTGCCTTAAGGCAAATCGCTGGTACTTCCCGTACCGAAAATTAAATTATTAAAAAAAAACTTTGCAAAACTTTGGATAAATTAGATTTTTGAGAAATTTTAAAATTTTTGAATTTTTTTTTTTTTTGAAAAACTTGATTTTTTTATATTATGATTTATTTTAAACATTTTTTTAAACAATCGCACTGCGTAGCTGATTTGGAGTCGAAATATCAAAGCGCGTCAGCGCCGCATAGTGGTCTAACGTGTAAAACATTGGTACGGAACCCATAAATGTACACATATTATTATAATCTTTATAAAATATCTGATAATACGATGTGCATATGTCTAATGATCATTTTTCACCGCCAAATGGCATTATTTTTCACTTTTTTGTTGGATCTTCGGAGACGCTGGACCTGCTTTTACAAAAATTTCACCAGTTGTTTATTTCGTCAATATAAGTAAAATGTTTTTTTGAATTATTTAAATCGGAAAATTGAAATCGGTATCTCCGAAACGGCTAGACCTGCCTTTGCCAAAAACTAATCAGCATGTCTCCTTATTAGTAGGAATTGAAAGTTTTTAGAATTATTCAAATCGGTTAATACGTGTTTGCGAAATTGTCGACGAAAATTTTTATCCGCACACATACATTCATTTTTTCTAAGGTATGCCAACATTTTCAGAAACCTCTGAAACGTAAAGATATATGTATAAATATTTATTTTTCGATTTTTTTTCCGATTACTATAACTTACTCTACGGGAAGTTAAAAATGATAGTAAAAAATTGATTTCCTTGATTTAAAAATTACCTAAAATTTATGCTTCTACAATTAACGTAACCATACGTCCCGGATTGGCCGGGACAGTCCCGATTTTCCGCCTTGCGTCCCGGTTTTAGATGTTTTGTCCTGGATTGTCCCGGATTTTTAAAAATGTTTTGATTGCCAATATATTTTTAAACATATTTTAACTAGAAAATTTGAACCGAAAAAAGTGCATTTAAGTTTTTAGCTCGCCAACACATTTCCATATTTTCATGCAAACAAATATGATCGCCTTACTACAATAGATTACCTCCTTAATAAACGTGCCAACTTATGTAGATAACTACAAGTATCTTATACTAATTATGCGCTCGTGATGATTTCAGAGGAAAATTTGGCACCGTTTACAATTGTAAAGAGAAGAAGTCCGGGCTGGAGTTGGCAGCCAAAACAATCCCCGTGCAGCGCAAGGAAGACCGAAGGAATGTCGAACGGGAGGTGAAGATCATGACGCTCCTGCACCATCCTAGGCTGATTCAACTCTACGACGCATTCGATGACGGAGGATCGATGTGCGTCATTCTTGAACTGTAAGCATTGTTTACTGTCTGTATTATTCATGTTTCAACTATTATTAGAATTTTAAATATAAACTTTAGAAAAAAAACAAGTCATGCCTAGTCTACCAATCTGTTTTGATTTTAGTAAATGAAACTTAATACGGAAAATTTCACCTTATGGTCAGCAGAAGATTTATTTTGGATAATAAAAAAAAATCTTATTATAGCTTCTGATACTATATTTATACAATGATTTATAACTATACTCATAGGGGATGGACTATGTAGTTATTTAATATAAAACTATTTATACTAAATGGTCTGACTATTTATCCGTAAAAGTTGCATTTAATTGCTTTAAATTACTTCTTTAAAAAATTATAATCATAAATGACTACATCAATAGAAAATTCATAACATTAAAATTATAATAATAAAATATTTTGATAAACTTATGAAACTTAACTTTTGATTACGTTTACTAAACCAAAAATTAGAATACTTTTTTAAAAAATTTGGAAAATATTTTTTTCTTAAAACGTAATGGTATAGTGATGGATCTTTTTAATAAGTTGGCTTACTTACGCTTTTGCAAATGGAAATGAAAACTAGTGGGGTGCATGGCATCGTGCCTTAAGGCAAAAATTGCTGGAACTTCCCGTATCGTAATTAAAAATCTTGGTACAGAACCCCAAAAAAATTACACAAAATGTGTACACATTATCAAAATCTCTATAAAATATCTGATAATTTAATGTACATATGTCCAATAAACGTTTTTGACCGTCAAATGACATTTTTTCAACTTATTTTTATTGATAGTCCATATCCTGTCTGTCTTCCTGTCTTCTCAAAAATTTAATCAGTTTTTCATCTTGCCAATACAATTAAAATGTTTTTTGAATTATTAAAATCGGACGTTCCGAAACTCTTAAAAACTGAGTTACCGTTTTTGGCACTTTTTGCCCCATATCTTCGAAACGGATTGATCTGCTTATGCCAAAAACTAATCAGGACATTTCCTTATCAATTCGAATTGAATGTTTTTTGAATTATTGAAATGGGTTGATCAGTGTTCCCGAAATCGTCGACGAAAATTTGTATCTGCACACACACACACATACACACACACATACATCAATTTTTTCTAAGGTATGCCAAAATATTCAGAAACCTTTGAAACGTAAAGATATATAAACATTTTCATTTTCGATTTTTTACGATTACTATAACTTACCCTACGGGAAGTTAATAAAATTATAATAGGGATTTTGATTCGTATGTATAATTATTTAAGATATTGTTAAGTTTCTTACCGCGCAAGCATTATTTATCTGCCTATAAAATTTTAAAATTATATTTTTATTATTGCTTATTTTATTACTGCAGTAGCGATGTATATTTTCACTTGAAACTATAAATGAAAAATATGTATCGAATTGAACAAATCTCTCACACAATTCTTCGAAATCAAAATCAAATCGGAATGGAGTCTAACTCAGCTCATAAACCTCCCCTTGGGCAGTACTACTCATTATTCATTTATTAGTTTATTGCAAAATCTCGACCTCGACATCTCTTGATCTAATATTAAATATTTAAACAAATTTGAGATCTTACATTAATTTTAACGATAGTGTTGAGAATCATATTATTTTTCTTATTTGTACTTAATTTGGAATTTGTGTTAGGTTAGAGTGCAAATTCCGGATAATTTAACATTTACGCGATTTATAATTAACTAATTGAATTAATTAATTATGAATATGTTTCAGAATCCAAGGAGGTGAACTGTTTGAACGAGTCATTGATGAGGATTTTCTTTTAACAGAAAAATCTTGTACAGTTTTTGTTCGACAGATTTGTGAAGGCATTCAGTATGTCCATAGTCAAAACGTTCTTCATTTAGATCTAAAGGTAATAACCATTATTTTTTATTTATTTTATTATATATTTAATTTACTTCTTACACATTTAATCACACACAAATTTAATTTTATTGAATGAATTTGAAAAAACTGCAGATGGTGGTATTCATAACATGAGCAATAAATGCCAGTGATTTTCTAGTAGGATTATTTCATTAAACATTTTAGTGCAATATTAAAAAAAACTAATTTTGGTTGGAAATATAGAGAAAACTTTTTTTACTTGAAAACAAATGAGTGCTGAAAACAAATATTGAAAATCTTATCAATTTAACACTCACTTGTCACTTGGCAATTTGCTTCATTTTTTAATTTTTTGCCATTTAATTAATTACTCTGGCTTCTGGTATTTTTATTTAAAAGAAAGTAACTCTATACTTTTTTAATTTTATATTCTTATATGAATATGATAATTATTTGTATAGTTATATAATATTTTTGGTGTGGTATCAAATGAAACCTTTATTTTTTATACCTTTTTAGCCAGAAAACATTCTTTGTCTTACGAAAACCGGCAACAGAATTAAGATAATTGACTTCGGATTGGCGCGTTTATATGATCCAAGTAAAAAATTGCAAGTTTTATTTGGAACCCCTGAATTTGTGGCACCAGAGGTTGTAAACTTTGACCGAATTACATTTGCTACGGATATGTGGTCGGTTGGAGTGATATGCTATGTCTTGTGAGTAGTAGAAAATTATTTGATTTGTAATATATTATTAATATAAAATCTATATTTATTATTGTTATAATAAATGTGAGGAAAATATAGGCTTGGTATTTTTTAGAGAAATACCACTTCACTTTTTTTGCAAAATTTTTCCTAAAATTCGTTATTTTCGCTTAGCTCAATGAAATACATGTAACCCTCTTATAACACGGTAGTTACGTTCCAAAAAACTAGCGTGTTATGCGAATCCGTGTTGAACGGGACAAAAAACTAGTACAAAAAGAAGGGTTACGTTCCAAGATTTCAATAAAACATGCTGCATATCATGATTTTATATTAAATGATTTAAAAGTACCGTGTTATAGGGGGGATGATCTCAATTTTTAAATCAGCGAAAGAGTGATATAGAAGTACCGTGCTATTAGTTTATACAAATTTAATTTTATATTAATGAATTCATTATAGATTATCTGGTTTGTCGCCATTTATGGGTGAAACAGATATAGAAACAATGGCCAATGTTACAATTGCAAATTATGACTTTGAAGATGAAGCCTTTAATGAGATATCTCCAGATGCCAGAGATTTTATCGCAAAGTTACTCGTGAAAGATCAAGAGTAAGTACAATAAACACAATTAGTTTTAAAATATCAGATGCTTATTAAAATGTCGAAATACCCGTAACTACCCTTGAAAAATGTAATTTGTTTAATTATTCTTACTTCATTAAATTTCACGTTACGTTACGCATTGCGAATAATTATCATAAATAAACAAAATCTAAGTGGGACATATTTTGGTAAAACGAATTACAGGGCAAGGTTGACAGCAGCCGACTGTTTGGCGCATCCTTGGCTTGAACGAAAAACACCACCACAAACTGATAACGAAATCAAAATTAATGGAACTAATACAGAATCTAAAAGTAAGCCTGAAGTACCAAAGAAGCCTGTACTAATACCAAAAATATCAACAACAGAAGACAACCTAGATTTGACTAAGGAAAATTTAAAGTCATTTGTTGAACGGTGGAGGGATCATCCTAATTCTCCATATTTGTTCGAATCTAAAGATTCAGGAATTCAACTTTCAGTCTCTCAACATTCCTTACGTGGTTACTCTCCTTCACCTTGCGGATCGTTGAATTCTTCTCCAGAAATTTACGAGGAAGATGACCATGAACTCGAGGACAACACGCTTGGATTCAAATCATTTGAAAGAAGAGCTTCAGATAGTACATGTGTTGTGAGAAAGAGTGATTCCTCTAGAAATGTGAATTTAGTGGATGAAATTCGTAAACTATCCGATCGTTTATTTGTTATGAGTAAAATGAGCCAAGAATTAGATTATGAAAAACGTAGCACACCTAGGCCAAAGCAAAAATTCACAAGTTTGAGCAGGGATGTCCCTAGGAGTGTACCTGGAAGTTTCAATGAAGAAAGTTTTGAAACGAAAGATTGTTTATTGCGATTGTTAGGGGAATGGGAATGCAATAATCATGTTCCATCATGTGGATCCAGACATAAGTCTTTTTCCGTAGAATGGTCAGAATCTGACACAGTTTGCCACGAATCGATTTCTTCAATAAGCACGTTTTATCAAAGTAAAACTGTAGAAAATCAAACTATAGAAACTAAAGTGAGTAGTAGAAGTATACGGAAATGATTCTGTAAGCTAAATAGAATAATTTTTTTCATGTAATATGATATCTCTGAATTAACCTGTGCAACTGTCTACCAATAACGTGAATTTGCGATGTTGTGATATTCGAGTGCTGAATTGGTACTTGTATAAATTGTATATATGTATTATAAATAAATGCGGATATTAGATAGTTACATGAAAACGTTATCGGCATTTAACTAGAACTTATTTTAGTGGTTTGATTTATGTATTACTATTTAATGTATGTGTTTAATATATATTTCTACAATTATTAAGTTATATGTATATATCAAATATATTGATATATAGTAATTTATTCATTGTGATAATTTCGTCAAATTAGAAAAAATGTATATAATTAGTAATGAAAATATATTTGATTATATAATGGTTATCATTTACATGTACGTTTATTTATTGAAAATTTGAATTTGATATGATTATAATCATAAAGTCATGTTAAAACCAATTTGGACGTACGGAATACAGCTTTGGGGAACGGCACGCAACATTGTCATAATTCAAAGATTTCAAAACAAGATTTTGAAAGAAATTATAAACGCACCCAAGTATGTCCCAAATTGGTTGGTTCATACAGCTTTGAACATGAACACAGTTAAGGAAGAAATTAAAAAATTCAGTCTGAGATACAAGGATAGAATACAGAACCACCCAAACATCATGGCCAAAAACTTTATAAAAAACCATGTCATTGAACGGCTCAGAAGAAAACGGCCCCTTTTTGATATCCTTTAGTAATCCTATAATATGTATAATTACTCGTAGGCTTTATTTAATTTTTTTCACATCAAGATATAAGCTAAACATATACAACATCGAATAGGATCACCGCTGAGTGACCTTTCGACCTTTTTCTTTATTTAATAAACCTTCTTATTTAAATTTTCTGAAGGTTGTTTAGAACGACAGATTGTAATTCACATATGTGAATAAAAAAAAATGATTATAATCATTATATAAAATTAAAATGCTAAACGAATTTCAACGTTCTTAAGTGCTCAAGTGCAGTTAATATTTTCGGTATAATATAAAAATAAATAAATATTATAAGAATTTTATAAAAAAAAAATTAATCGAGCGCCTAAACAATCAAATATTTAATTGTATATTTCTTTCCCAATTCAAATTTTTAAAAGTGAAGTGATTAGCATTTATCAGACATAAAAAATCAAGACTCCACATTGGAATTGGAATATCCAAATTATACTGTAGTTCAATATGTTGAATGTCTTAAAATTTCTTATAAACAATGGTTTGTTTACTCATGTATCATATATAGAATACAATATATTTAAATTAATGAAATATATGAGTCGTTCAGGTACAAATTAGCTATGTATTTTATGATTTTTCTATGCACAAATTCATTATTCATCCAGTCCTAAAACCTATTGCGATAGGAAACTTTTTAACCCGTAATAACTCAACCATTCATTAAAATATTTGAAACTATGGTTTTATTTTAATTCTTTAATATTTTGCTAAAAATCATTCAAACACTGAATATTGATTTTAAAAACATATTATATTTAACGAGATCAGAATTTGATAAGAACTTCGTAAATCACAACTTTTTTTTAAATCTATCAAATTAATATCAAGCTGTAAATTAATATTACTCAATAATTACACAATATAGCATTCAATATTTTTTACATCCAGCAATTTTAACCATTTATACCATTCTCCTTAAAAAACAGTTTGAAACATTATGGTTTTGATTTTTGAATGCACAATAGTGTAAGACTAATAACGTACCATGCATACGAAAACAAATTTTTCTTCGCGGGCTTCTATACACGAATATTATTTACTTTTGAAAAGTGAAGTAAAATTTTACTTTCAGCATTCGAATGTCTGCAAAAGATTGCTTGACCCATAAATGGCTGGTGGACGCTGCCACCGACACGGAACTGTCCGTAACTAAAACGAAACTTAAACGTTACGTTATTAAGAAAAGATGGATCAGAGCCGTTAATATGATAATCGCTTTGCGAAGGATGGGCGCCAATTTAGATGGTCCTTCCATTTAATGAATATATTTTACATGTTCATATGTTAAGAGTGATTGTGTTCATTATTTTTGATGCTCAAAAAGCAATCTATTGTATATTCATATTGAATAATATTATCTTACATTATTAATTGGAACAAATATAGTTTTTGCATTGTTACTTTTGTTTTCGATTTTTATTAAAACTAATTTTCAACTTCCCGAAGTAGTAGAGAAGTTCATGCTTTCGTCATAAAATCAGACTTGCTAGTTTTATGTTATCTCAACTTTTCAAGTCATTATGAATCGTTTCAGAACAAATTTGGAAAAAGTAACTCGATAAAGACTGATGTTAATTACTTTTCTTTGGAATTAGCAAGAAAGAACTAAACTAGTGGGATGCATGGCATCGTGCCTTAAGGCAAATCGCTGGAACTTCCCGTACCGTAATTAAACATTCGAGGAATGAAATTAATCAATAATTGTTTTGAATAATTTCAAATAGATTATTTATTATAAATATATACTGCATTACAAGTGCTCATTAATAAATTGAGCGAGCGTATTCTAAAACAACTTATGTGTTTGTTTATAAAAAATGTGTCGAAAATTTTCAATACTACGAAATTATCTGTAAAAGCACTTTTTGCACATCGTCAAGCAACTGAATTACCATTTTTGATCCTTTTTGTCCCTTATCTTCGAAACGACTAGACCTGCCTTTGCCAAAAACACGTCTCCTGATCAATACGAATCGAATGTTTTTTTGAATTGTTCAAAAAACAATTCGTGTTCCCGAAATTGCCGACGAAAACTTGTAACCGCACACACATACGCACATACATCCATTTTTTCTAAGGTATGCCAAAATATTCAGAAACCTTTGAAACGCAAAGATATATAAAAATGTTAATTTTCGATTTTTTTTTGCGATTACTATAACTTACCCTACGGGAAGTTAATAAGACATACCCATGTTTTTACGAAAAATTCGGAACTGATTCTGAAAGATACACGTTGTCAGATTAATTTTTGGCAAACATCAGCCATTTCGTTAAATTATTTTTTTTTTCGCATTTTTAATGAAACCTAATGTGGCTATAGAGTTCATGCAAACATCTTAAACATATTATAAAAAGGTTGAGATTAAGTTGAAAGTTTTACCTAAATAGCTACAGCTCAATTCTTATTTTTCTATTTATAAAGTCGATTTTACAAATATCGGAATCTAGCTTCTTAAGACGAAATTCCACTTCAACCTAGTTCCCATAATTTTCAATGTAGCTATTACATATGTTACATACATAACAAAAATAAGCCTCACCACTAATGTATACCATTTTTTTTCTAATTGTTAATGATTTAATAATGAAATTTTGAGTAATCTTTCTATATCCATTTATAAATAAAGCCTTTCCTAAAGACGTAATCTTGTTAAATTGTCTTTTAAATAAAATAAAGAGTAAAATTTAAAATGTAATATTGATACAACCTACATATTTTTCCAATACATTAAAAATAATTTTATCAAAAAGCATTGAATAGCTTTAATCTCAGTAAAATATTAAAAAAAAGTTAGATTATAATTATTGCTAAAACTATCTTCTGTAGTTTTTATATTCTTCAGACATTTCTTTTAAAAGGCGTACATATCTATTAGCTTTTTCTCTCTGCGTTGGCTTATAAGTTGGAAATACTCTTCCTCTGATGATTGGGAAAGAATGCTTCATTACGAATTTCCAGAATGAATTTTCATCATCTACGTTTCTTACTGTATGCTTCTGCATAGCCAATTTGCATGCAACAACATTTATTAATGAATTATTTTTTCGATTGAGTCCTAACAAAGAAGAACATTTGCGCTTTACGTGTGAAGAGTTCTTTTCTTGACGATTCTTCTCTTGTTTTCGTTGCACACTGTGTGTTAGTTTCAATTGTATATTATATATTTCTTTAGTTAGACTTACAGAATAATTAGTTTTTATATTATCATCTTTATTCAAGTTAACTTTTGCTTGTTTTGACTTGCGCTTGAAAGTTGTTGATGCTTCTGCTAAAGCACAAATTTTTTCGATTGCTCGTGCAAATTTGTCTTTTGCTTTGTTACGCTTGGAACCACTTCTACAAGTAAAATCATCTTGATAAGCGCCTGCTGAATTACATCCATGTCTTCTGAAATATTTGGATTCTCTGTAAGTTGTAGACCTATTGATATAATTAATGTTTGTTTCACTAATTGTGCTTCTGCCGTCCATATTTTGCCCAGTATCTGTCTTATCCGATATAAAACAATAAGATATAATGGTATCTTTATAAAATGAATGTATAGTTTCTTCGTGATCATTATGATTTTGCTTATCATGTTTTCCATTTGACGTATCTTCATATTTTTCTCCACTCCTACCTTTTTCATCGCCATAGTTACAATTTCTTCCTTTATCAGTATCGACATTTTCTTTGTTTTCACCAACTCTAGTTAATGCTGTTTCTTTGAAATTAAGGGAATATGGTTTCACAGATGTATCTATGTCTGTTCGTACACTCAATTCAGAAGTAGATATGTCATCTTCTGGTTTCAAAGTTCGTGAGCTTGAATTTTGTGTTATAGTACTGGCAGCTGATTTTTTATGAGTAGCAAGTAATGGAAAAATTGTATCAATAGAACAATCGGAACATTTTCTTGATAGCATTTCATAATCATCAGTATCCTGCGGCAAAGGAGGATATTCAATAAAATCTTCAGCTTTCTCCAATGAATAATAATAGCACCAACGATCGTTACAGCGTGTTGGACAACATTTCGATGTGAGACTATCGCAAGAAAAATCGCACCCTGCATATAAAATAATATTTAATTTCTCACGTCAATATTACAAACAGAAACCAAGGCTTAAAATTCGTTATATTTCATAGTAGAATGCACAGGTATTAAAATAATAAAGCAGTGCGAATTAAGTTATTTCTATTTTTGTTAGAATTTTTTTCACTCATATTTATATAAATTTTTATTTATATTTATATTTTTTTATTATATTCATATTTATGCTTATAATGATAATAAAAATTTGAATTTAATAATAAAAATTAAAAATGAAA